CCAAACCTGCCCGTGGTGAATTCAGCAGGCCCTGCTGCTCTTCATTTAAATGGGAATGGGGAAAGGAACCGGCCCTTGAGTCCGGAGAAACACGTGCAGTGCTTTTTAACTACGTTGTTTTTCACGATCTGTAAGTGACACTGAAAACAGTGGAAGAAAGTGACGCTCAAACCTTTGCTCCGAAAAATCAGAGTACGTGTTTCATTCACATTTTGCTATTTGAGATTAACTTGCGTGCAATGATTTTGAGTTGAAAACCGTAAAAAGCTTACCGGCAGAAAAATACAACTGAAGACACGCTTTAGAAGCTGTTTTCCAGAAAAAGCAGAAGAGCTTATACTTGCAGCCGTACATTTATAAACCCAAATAATTTCCTGCCTTTTCTGATTGTTATGGCTTGGTTGACTCTTTTTGGCTGACTCTTTCAGCTAGAGAAATTCATGGTTTTCAGCAGTGGTAATGACTTACCAGCAGAATAATTGATATTTAAGTTTCCTTACTTGAAATAAATTACCAGAAGTTTCTTATTTTTCACAGAAGTACTTGCAAACAGGAACTGTCGATTAGAAAAATTCACAGAGGTAAAAAGATGGTTTATTTGCCTCCATGAAGGAACCAGTCACACACCACAAAATCCTTCAGAATGAAGGGCTACCTGGCGCTCAAAGTGCCCTCTGGACATGCCTAAATCAAAGCTTTCCCTTAAATCCCTGTCAGGGTTAATCTTTCCCATATTTAACAGTCACCTCTCAAACTCTTTCCTAAAAACAAAGGTAGAAAACTGTGCATAGCATCAATCACCTATTGATATAACCATAAGAATAAAGACTCACCTTTCTGAACTCACCATTCCAGGATGAACTGCAGAAGTGAAGAAAACACGAAGTCACATTCATACATTTGAATGCTGCACCAGCTGACTCACATCAGGGTAAGCTAAACTCATGTCACCTAAAGAAAGAAAGAAAATTGGCTTGACTGATTTGCAAAAAAAAGGAGGGAAAAAAGGAGGGAAAAAAAGGAGGGGAGAAAAAGGAGGGGAGAAAAAGAAGGGGAATGAACTGCAGAAGTGAAGAAAACACGAAGTCACATTCATACATTTGAATGCTGCACCAGCTGACTCACATCAGGGTAAGCTAAACTCATGTCACCTAAAGAAAGAAAGAAAATTGGCTTGACTGATTTGCAAAAAAAAGGAGGGAAAAAAGGAGGGAAAAAAAGGAGGGGAGAAAAAGGAGGGGAGAAAAAGGAGGGGAGAAAAAGGAGGGGAGAAAAAGGAGGGGAGAAAAAGGAGGAAGGAGGGGGGAAAAGGAGGAAGGGGGGAAAAAAAGAAAATTAATTTCCTTAGCAGGAACTCACACAGCCAGAAGTGTCAGGGTCAACACTTAAGGCACAGAAACTCAGCAGGGGGAGGGGAGAAAGAAAGGTGCAGGCCAAGGCAAAAGGGAGGCAAGAGAGGGAAGAGCTTCATGCTCCCGAGAAAACAGGCGGATTAGGAAGAAACCCTGCAGCCCAGAGAAGGCCCTTGTGCCTCCTTCCTGCGCCGCGTCCGATGGCGAGCTTGGTGCTTCAGACCTGAAGGAAACCCGTTCCCTCCTTAGCACCTTCAGCGAGCCAGCAGTGACTGCAAGCGTCACCGCTCGTCCCAAAACAGCGCGACGCCAAGCCTTCCCAGGAAATGGCGGCCAGCCCCGGCCACCGGGGCCTCGGCAAGAGGAGAGGGGCCTCGGCAGCCAGCCTCAAAAGCGGTCGTTTATCCGCCAAAGGGCGGCAGCCCCTGCCGTACACCCCACAGCCCTGGAAGAGCTTGCAGAGCTGGCAGGGGCTGACGCCTAGCAGGAGGCTTTTGGGAACCAAACTCGCCACGCCAACAAGCCCGGTACGGAGCAGCGAAGCACCGCGAGGCTGCTGAGGGGCCCCCCGCGTACCGCGGCTCGCCGGAGGCCCCGTGGCTGCACCTCTCTGAAGGAAGGGAGGGCTCCACCGCACCAGAGGGGCCGAGCGCTGGAAGCGGGGGCGGCTGTGAGCTCCTTTCTGATGCGTGCCCTGGCACGACACAGGAAAAAGCTCACACTGAGATGGGGGTGGGGGGAAAAAAAAATAATCATCCCACAGATTTGTACCTGCTGGGAGAACAAAAAATACTGCAAGAGGAGAAGAGCAATACTGGACATTCAGAAAAGGCTGCTGGGAATGAGGGAAAACCAGGAACGTGGCTTCTGAAGGTTAAGCCAGGGCAAAAGAAACCCAAAAGAGATGAGACATTGCGACGGGAAAAATCAAGGGGGCAGTGGGGCCCAAAGCCTGCAGCACAGCCCAGGCTGTGGGGGAGAGGGAAGCCAGGGTGGAGCCTGGAGGCAACCACGGGGCAGAGACGGTTTGTGCTGGTTCTTATAAAGAATTAACTTTGGGCAACTATTTGCGTATCTCGATTTATTCCCATTATCGCATCTCTCCAAAGGGAAGTTGGTACCTTTACCCAGAGCAGCAGGAAAGACTCCACTGTCCCGGGCAGCCACGACCTGCGTTGTAGCTGGGCAGCTGGATAACAAATCCTGAGCTGCCTGGAGCAGTCCTGGAGCTCGGCAATGCGGTAGGAGACTTCGGAGACCGTCTGAGAGAGTTTCACTCTCACCCAGGCACAGTCCTTTACCACAGCCCCAAACAGTAAACTTGCCGATGCTTCCGCAGGACCACGTTCCTCCTGGTCCCACGCTCCTCTCTTCAGATGCACGCCGTGGGACCGCATCCTCCAAATGCGCGCTCGGTACCGTGCTTCTCCCCCAGGAGGACTTACCCCTTGCCGGGGCCTTGGCTCGCCGCTCCCACAGCGGGCCAGGCACCCGCTGCCCCGCGGCACACCAGCTGCTGAGCCAGACAACCTGCACGCCCCGGGGCAGGCGAGTTCCACTGCTGGTGTACCTCTTCTGGTCATCGGAGACGTACGGGACCGACAACCTCAATGCAAACGGACAGCTTACTTAACCTAGCCTGTATGATTTACTGGAAATACAGAATCTTTAGCAATGTAAGTAGTAGAAATATACGTGCATAACAGTACAATCACAGTACTATTACCGTTCTTTGACAAGAGATTGCCAAGATCTACAGGCAGTAAATACGGCGTACCACTCCCCTTCCCTATTCTCAGGAGTACCTTCAACAGCTGGATCCCACCTTTCTGCAAGCCCAGGATCTGCCCCCGAGTAATTTAGTTCCCGACAGTACACCGCAAGGCAAGTATTGACATGCCGCTCCCCCGCTCCTCCATTCCTGTGGGACAGACCCCATCGCTGCAACCACCCCCGCCCTTCCCTCTTCTCCTGGCAAGGTCAGCCGCTTTCGGCGCCACTGGATGGACGAAACGCCACAGAGTACAGCACAGACTGCTTCCAGCCCCTCGAGCAAACCAGCGCCGGAAAAGACACGGTACAGCTCGTGTTCACACTGAAACATCCCAGCAGCAAGAAATACAAGAACTGTGTAAGCTTCAACACGACTGTGCTTAAAACCATTGTACCAGTTGGCACCACGTATATAGCAGTATTACAATTCCAAATACATCATCTGTTCACTGGCTTGGACCATCAGCCTTGACACTTCATCTCTAGGTGGCACTATTTGCAATATATAACTTTTTAAAAAACACTAATGTTTCAAAGTGCCATCTGCTGGTACTTTCATTATATACATATAGCTATTTCAGAACAACAAGTAGTGGAAGTGTCAGTGTGCTTTTCAATTGGCAATATACCTCTGACCCCAAAGACTCACAGCAACCATTTTTTTTTTTTTTTTTTACATATATCATGAAAATGGTTTATTGCGTCTATATCCCACAGCATTAAATTATCATTGTGAGAGCCTGGCAAGTAATCACCAGAAGCTTTTCAGAAACGAAAGCGAGTATTTTGACAGCTATGGAGGCTGGTAATTTAACTTTTAAGATGGACCAGACAGTAGCACTTTAAAGTTCAACTGGAGTGCAGCGCTTTTCTTTTAAAACTGTCTTAATCACAAGTCTATATTTAGCTTCATAATCAGGGCAGACAAATCCTGTCTTTCTGCAAAATTAAATCCAGAAGTTACCAGGTTCCACTGGCAGCTAGATCCACTAGCTGGATCCAGCAAGTAGCTACTACACTTTACAAAAATGTTAAGGCCTGTTTAAATTTACTTAACTTTTTAATATTGCAAAAGTTAAGTAATGCACCAAGACTTAGAAGCAAGTCACAACATCTCAGAATAACTCCATTTATAATTTTCTCCAAAAAAAGGAAAAAGCTGTCAGTCTGTTCTCTACATTTCTCCAGCAGAAACATGACTCCTAAGGTCAAAGCAATTTAGAACCTGGAGGCCAACCTCAGCAACAGTGACTACGCAACAGCCACTGCCCTTTGGGTTTAGGGAAAACTACTTCAGTAAACACGTAACATCTGAGAGCTAAACTGTTGTCTGCACTTACCCAAATCTCAAAGATTATTCTTAAAATTACTTACAAATGACAGCAACAGTTAGTTACATTCAGGAACTGGCTGAGGTCTGCTTAAGCTTTCTGCACAAGAAGCAGATCCACATTACCTGCAATGATTCCATCAACCTCTCCCATTTTGTTTCCCTTCCCTCCCCCCTCCCACCTGCTTAATCCTCTCTGCATTTTCTAAATTTCCAATTCTTCCTTCTGTCATTGTTTCCTTCCCCAGTTCTTCCTGCAGGACACACAGAGGCACAGCCCCACATGAATAAAATACATTTGCTGTGAATGACTAGGTCGCTTTTCTAACTTGAGGCTATCAGATCAAAAATCCAGTTTAAGCAGACACAAACCGTACAGCTAGTCTAGAACAGCAACAACTGCTACCCAGATTTGACACTGTAAGATAGCAGTATGGAAACATGGCCACATGTCTGCTTCACCTTGAAAACTGCCCATTTACATGCAGCTTCCTGAAAGGCGCAAAAGTTTGTAAGACACCACCACTTAGAGACAACACGAACTTAGTTAATGAAAATTTATTCTTTCAGCAAGTCATAGCCAGCTCTTATGCGACCAGGGCAGAAGCTGTCGATGATTCACTAAAAAGAGAGAAAAGAGAAAGAGAGAGAAATATTAAATGCAAATGCAGTTTTTCAAACTATTTGCCAAAAATACTGCTTCAGTTCAAAGCTTTAACCACCAGTTGTGAGTTTAATCACTACCCGTTTAAAATTTTTTATAGCAGTAATGACTTCACTCATTAAGACAATTGTTTTTTCCACGTGTTGTGATAGTCATTTTACCCAGCAATAAGTTCCATTAATTTATCAGTTAATATTTATGAATATACCTATTCTTTGCTGCCTGGTTTATCTATATGCCTGATCACAATGCACACTGAATAACAGCCCCAGCATATTGTTTACAGAACCTGCAAGACCTCAGTGAAAATAGAAACATAAGAGAAGACTTACTACTTCCAATTGGGCGGCAGCACTCTCTTAGTTTTGTAGTAGCGAGCCAACCTATGGATTCTGCTTTCAATCAGAATCAGGCGGAACTTGGCATCTTTATCCTTGAAAAGAAAGTTACATGACAACCAAGCACTGCTTTGACTTCTCAGTGACATACAATTCCGATGAGCTTTAATAAAGGAAAAAATCCACAGCTACTGCTACAAACTCCACATTCCCATTACCAAAGTCCGAAGAATCGAGCAAAATCAGAACAGGACCAGAAATATATTGTTTAAGCAATGCTTTTAAGATCCTTTTCACAGGCAAAGACCATTCTCCTTTGTCAAAATGCCTCCCCAAACTCCTGCATTTACTCAAAGGGGGTGGCTAACGGGAAGTACACTAAGAGTCTTTGCTTTGTCAAGCTGTAAACAAACTACTGTATTATTTGAAAAAAACAGAGTCATCTACTTAAATTAGCACTCACCTTTCTGTTTCTCTCAAGAATTAGCACTCACCTTTCTGTTTCTCTCAAGATGTTTGCGAACAGCAACAGCTTTCTTAATCAAGTGATAAAGATCCTCTGGAAGGTCTGGGGCCAGTCCCTTCGATTTAAGGATTCTCAAAATTTTGTTGCCAGTAACAAAGCGAACCTGGGCAACACCATGGGAATCCCTCAGGATCACACCTGAAACAAACATTTACATCTCACACTGAAAAGGAAAACCTTACACAAACAAATCTTGTGAAACCAACCTTACAGTTACAAGATATCCAAAAAAGGTCTTCCCTAAATTAAAAACCTTTCTGGTAGAAACTGTGAACAAATGGTAGGCAATGAGTGAGCAAAATACAACTTACAGAAGCTGAAACACTTTAGCAGATAGCACTTAACAGACAACTAACCCACCCATCACATTCAGGCAGGTAACACATTAAGTGCTACAATATTATTGGGAATTTTTCAACAGGACTCATTAAAGCCAGGTATTCAATCACCCTTTTCTCTATGGTTAACAAAGATGTCATAGACATCTTTTACTCTAAAAAAAAAAAAAAAAATGTACTGTACCATAGAGATCATTAATACTCTCAGGATTAAAAATAAGAAACGGAATACCAAAAAAACCCAAACCACAAATCATTCACATAACTACACTGCACAGCTCATGACCATATGAAGTTGTAGCATGCATACACTTAAGAAGAGCTCTAGAGGGGTCCAAACTACTGAGAACTAGTGCAGCTACAGTGCCTGGCTCAGTAAGCTCCTAAACATAGGGCTGCAGATACTTGAGATGAGATGCCAAGTTTTTCTCCAAGAAAGTGGGTAGACTAAACTTCCCTATACCATCTGTTAGTGGCCATTCCTAAGGACAGGTTAGAAGATTAAGTAGATACTTCACATTTTCTGCTTAGGGGAAAAAAAAGAAAACCAAACTGTCAACTACCTCACCAAATATAGTTCCTGCAAGAATGAGAGATATTACATTTTATAATGATATCCACATAGTGAATACATAGGTACATCAGAAAACCTGTATTTCCTTAGCATGTTATTTAACATAGGTTGAAGGAACAATTACACTATTACAGGCACAAAAATGTTTTTGTCTCCATTCAGGAGTTACTAATAAACCTTACCAATTTGTGAGGGAGTCAGGCCTTTTTTAGCCAGCTTGTAGATCTGTTCCTTTACATCATCAGAAGTAAGTTTCAGCCACTAAAGAAAATTAGGGAAAAAAAACAACTCATGAACACTGCTTAATAAAGAAGCATAGGCTAGCTATATTAAAGTTTTCTACAAATGGTAGAAATAGATGCTTTGCAATGCTTGAAAAAACAATCCAGAACTGAAATTGTACTTCTAATTATATAGAAACTTTTTTACATATTATGAACCTATAGCGCTAGTGAAATATGGGGGAAGGCAGAGGTGAAGGAAGAAAGTCTCTGTTTAAAACGCCCCATGTAGCCTCCAAGCAGCTGCTTTATCCTCAGTTTACTTTAACTGCCACACCGGAAGCATGAATACAAATTTACAGAGGAAAAAAAAAAATCACTGCTGTTGGGAAGGAACTCCTTAATTGGGCCTTTGACAAAAACACAGAATTAAGAATCATTTAGCCATCCCTTAATAAAGCACCTACAGAGATTAGTGGAAAATCAGACTTTAAGTACACAAATTAATTAAAAAAATGAAACAAATAGATCTACTCAGATAGGACTGTACCTTTTCTATTACTTCTATGTTAAACTGTGCTGATAGAGCCATTGCTTCTGTGATTAGTAAGGGGAAGACACCAACAAGGTAGGTAATCCTCGCTCTTTCAACAAGCTGATTTTTTTTTTCTTTTTAATATTGTAACATTATGAAATAGAAAAGCACAACAAAAATATTTGGAAGTGCTCCATAGATTACAATTCAAAACTGAATACAAATAAGACTAAGCAAAAAACCCACAAGATTTTTTAAAACAAGTATAGCATTTAAGCATCCTAATCATTATTAAACCGTTTAACCACCAGCAGGACATCAAGCAGCTTCACATTATCTTACTTTAAATTGTATCTCTTTATTTTCATGTTTTGTGCTTTAATTCCATGTTTCTGTTCAACTATTTTTCAGTACATGCTTTTCCATATGTACCACAAATGGATCTTTCTGTCAACAAATAGATCCTCCAAGACATGGTGTTGCAAAGCAACACAGATTAAGCAGCTGCTCCTTTAGCTGACAGGTAAGCCTTTTGAGTGGAAGTACTCTAAATGAACTAAAGGCACACTGACGTTATTTAAGTTACTGCTCTGACCTGCACATTACTGCTGTAAATAGCTTAGAAAACAGTCGGTTTATTCCACAATGGCAAAGGCCAAACTCGAGCATGAAGAGAGCAATTTAATCTCAAGGAATTATCAGCATACAGCCTAAAACCAATGGAAGTAACACTTAAATAAAGGAAGGTACAAAGAGGAACGCCATAGGCTAAGGTACCGTTTTATCAGGCCATAATTTAAAAGCGATGACACAAAATATTACAGGTCTCTTCGTTTTGTTTCGCTTCCTGGGCACCGCTAGGCCGCACTCCGGGCACCGGACCCCGCGCTGACCACCGCAAGGCAGCCGCCCGGGCCTGCCCGAG